AATAATATCAAAAAAACTAAAACACTTATAAATTTCACCAAACATGTTCTCGATTTCCTTTGCCACTCAATTTTGACAAATTTTAACATCGTTTTGCCAACCAAACAGTAAAATTTTTAACATTGTTTTGGAAACTTTCTTTTTGACTTACTTTTTACCCTTTTTTACTGATTTTTTACTTTTTTTTAAGTAACTTTTAAAATTTTTCTTTAATAAAAATTTAAATTTATAAAATATGAATAATATCAAAAAAATTAAAATACTTACAAGTTTCACCAAACATGTTTTCAATTCCCTTTGCCACTCAATTTTGGCAAATTTTAATATGTTTTGCTAACTAAACAATAAAAATTATTTTATTAAAAAATTTATAGAATATTTCAAATAAAGAGAATAATTTCTTTTAAAAAAATAATTTTCCATAGAAAAATATATTCTAACATGTAGTTATTTTCCACCAATTAATTGTACTCTTGTATTTTTTTTCTACGTTGTTTAATTGCAATATCACTCCATCATTTTCATCTTTGATTCGTTGAAAGGAAAAGCTATAGCGAAGGTAAACTCCTGACTAGTCTGTTGGTTTAACACAAATCACCTTAATTAGTTTAATTAATTTTTTTATAAATCTTAATTATGATCTGCTTAGTACTCCCTCAAGTCTAATTTAATTGTCACTTAACCTATTTTTAGGACACTTTTTATAATAATATAATTTTAATTTTTTTATTTAATTTTACTTTATATAAAAAATATAATTACTATTTATATAATATAAAAAAATACCCACAACTACCTGCAATGACGGCCATAAATTCTGGAGGGAATATAATACTCCAATTCAATGAAGACCGCATCAGACACTCACACATCAGTCTGTTGATGCAATTAATACCTTAATTAGTATTAAAAAATAAATTATAATAATATTATATAAATATTCCTTATTCCTATTTCTAAATTATAATCATTCAAAAATTTAAGAAAAAAAAAGGGTTTTCAATGGAGGCCATTTATCTACCCCATAATAAGTAATACATTAATTTTGAGAGAGCGCCACGTGTTCCACTTTTAAAGTAGAAATGATAATACATTCTAAGGTGCTGCTGCCACACGCCAAATCACGTGTAAAATGATCGATCAGTCACGCTCCCTTTTTTTTGGCAGGAGGTCTCTGGTATCTGTTGGAGGATTTGCGCCGACGGTTCGGAATTTGTTTACGTCAATTGCGGAATTCATCAAATCAAATTTCTAAAGAGCTAACTACCTTGGGCAGTCTGTTGGATGACACGATATGTGTAGTTGAAGATGCTAAGCGATGTCGCGACCACATCATAGTGAAGTCATGGCTTGCCAAAATAGAGGAAGTGCTTTTTGATACTGATTGTATACTTGATGAGACAAAGAATGCTAATATATTCTGGCAAACTGCAGAAGTCCAATCCAGTGCCAACAAGCCATGGAAACTCATCCTTAATTTGTATAACAAGATTTCAAGGTTTATGCCTTATTATCGAGAAAAAGGGATGGTTTCCAAAGTGAAGTATTTAACTGCTGGATTTGAAGAAATTCTTGATGAAGGAAAGCAGTTATTAAAAGAAATTCTTGATGAAAGAACGCAGTCTGGCATCCAATACACATTAACTACGCCTGGTAACATTCTACCTCTGTTTGAATTTGCTATTTTTCTACGTTTCTTTCTTAAAGCATTTACATCGGTAGGGACTCATCATGTTACATCATCCCAATTCATATAATTCTTTTTATTCATTTAATTTGATTTTTTAATTTTTAGAATATAAATTTTAAATAAAAATTTAACAATTTATATAAATATCAATTGAAAATTATATATAGAGATAAAAAAATTTTAATTTTTTTTATAAAAATTATTAAATTTTCATTCAGAATTTATATTTTAAAAATTCAAAAATCACATTAAATCTTTTAAAAATTAACAAAAAAATTATTTATTTAACCTATAAATATAAAATTTTACTGGAGACTCTCCTCTCCTATTAGTGTATTATTTTTTACTTATCCCCAAGTACACACCACAAAAATATAATTATTATTTTTACATCAATGTGTTGGTGCAATTTATACTTTAATTAGTATTAAAATATAAACTATAATAATATTATATAAATATCCTTTTTTCTTATCTCTAAATTGTAATAAATCGCACTTAATCTTAGAGACACAATGACACAATCCATTAAAAAGGTGCATTTCCTTCCTGTCCATTTCAAAATGTTCAAAAAAAAAAATTGTAATAAGTCAAAAATTAAAAAAAAAAAAAAGAAAGGTTTTCAATGAAGGCCATTTATCTACCCCATGAGTAATACATTATTTTTGAGAGAGCGCCACGTGTTCCAGTTGTAAAGTAGAAATGATAATGCATTCTAAGGTACTGCTGCCACACGCCAAATCACGAGTAAAATGATTGATCAGTCACGCTCCTTTTATTTATTTTATTATTTATTATTATTATTATTTTGCAGGAGTAGACTGGCATGTGTTGGAGTGGTTGCACAAAGGTGTCCGAATTTATTTACGCACATTGAAGCGTTCATCAAATCAAATTCCTAAAGAGCTAACTACGTTGAGAAGTGTGTTGGAGGACACGATGCTTGTAGCGGAAGATGCTGAGCGATATCGCGACGACATCATGGTGAAGATATGGATTGCCGAAATGAAGGAAGTGCTTTATGATACTGATTATATATTTTGGGAGATAAAGAATGACAATATATTCGGGCAAACTGCAGAAGTCCAATCCAGTGCCAACAAGCCATGGAAACTCATCCCTAATTTGTTTAACAAGATTTCAAGGTTTATGCATTTTTATCGAGGAAAAAGGATGGTTTCCGAGGTGAAGGATATAACGCTTAGATTAAAAGAAATTCTTGATGAAGGAAAGCAGTTATTAAAAGGAATTCGTGATGAAAGAACGCAGTCTGGCCTCCAATACACATTAACTACGCCTGGTACCATTCTATCTCTGTTTGAATTTGTTATTTTTCTACGTTTCTTTCTTAAAGCATTTACATCGGGAGGGACTCATCATGTTACGTCATCCCTCCCAATTCATATTATTCTTTCTATTCATTTAATTTGATTTTTTAATTTTTAAAATATAAATTTTAGATAAAAATTTAACGATTTATATCAATATCAATTAAAAAATTATTTTAATTATATAAAAATATTTAATAAAAAATATATTTAAGGACAAAAAAATTTTAATTGTTATTATAAAGATTATTAAATTTTCATTCAAATTTTATATTTTAAAAATTCAAAAATCAAACTAAATCTTTTAAAAATAAATGAAAAAAATATTTATTTAACCTATAAATATAAATTTTTAGGGGAGACTCTACTCTCCTATCCACAGAGCTAACAAAAACTCTTCAAAAGTTAAAAAAAAAAAAAACATATTAACTTATACAAAAAAAATAAAATAAAATAAAAAATACTCGATATTTTTATTTGATTATCTCACTTATTAAATTAAGGTTCTTTTTAATTGTTCTACTTTTTATTTTTGAAAGACATTAAATGCTCTTATTCTAAATTTACACGTGTTACTCTAAGCTATTGATGAATGAGAAATGCTTCTATTTGGGATAAACAAGGGTATTTCAAGCCTTAATCATTATATTTTTAGTTGCTCTGTAAGATATTCTTTTAATTTTACAAGTTTAAATTAGGACAACTAATAAAATAACAATAATGAGAGATGTCTACCTAAAATATATTTGGTTTAAAACAATAGAAGAAAGCCGAGGCAAAAGGAGAAAAATGAAAAAATGTTCTATACTTGCATTTTCATTTTCCTCCATTTTCCTTTCATCCCATCCCCCCTAATCTTTTATTGTCTCCACTCCGCTTTTCTTTTCTTATACCAAACAAATTCTAAAATGGGCAACAAAGACTGTGGGAGGCTTTCTTATTGGATAGATGTTGTCCGGACCTACACAGTGGTTATGTGAGAGAAGAAATTAAGAGAGCCCTAGATGGGCTCATAAACATGTTACACTTCTATTTTTTTAAAAAAATACTACTATCTTCATTCTTTTATTATGTTAAAAATATATAATATATTAATTAAAATTAATAAAAATATATAAAATATTAACTAAAATTAATAAAATTTCTTAAAATATTAATTAAAATTATTTAAAATAATAAATTTATATTTTTAGAAAATGTGTTGTGTGAGAAAATTTGTGTAAAACATTTTCAAATTATGAAATTTTATATTAGTTGTATTTTTACTCTCGCTTAACATTTTTATGGGGTTGAGGATTTTTAGGTTGATTGCACTTTTATTTTTACAAGTCCATCTAAAAAACACATTTTTGTATCTTTATATAATACTGTTACTACTTAAAGTTTAATCATCTCTTTCCAAATTTAGTTGTCATATTTTGGGTGAGCTGAAGATTTTTTATTGCTAAAAACACTCAACAATAAACATGAAATTTTTACGTAATATAAAATTTAAAATTCTGATAATTTTGCATGTTTTCCGAATTTTTGATAAACTACAGTTTGAGGAAGATAGTATATATAAATGACAAAGATCAATATTTGAATAACAATATATTAAAAGAAAATTATTAATTGAAATTATTTAATAAAATTTTTATATAAAAAATTTAAACTACCATTCATACTATAATATACAAAAATATATGAAGTACTTAATATTTTAATCTTAACTCTATGTAAAATTTCTATAATAACAAAATTCTCCTAAAAATTCTTAAGTAATTACTTATTGAACTTTAAAAATCCTCAATAAATATACATTGAACTTTAAAAAATCATCAATAAATACCATGTGGGCTTTAAAAATTTATAATAAATATCCAATTGACTTTTTAAAACATATCTATTGAAATGTAGTTTATATCTAACATATGTAATATAGCAATTCAACAATAAAAAAAATAAATTGCTAATATAGAGAGGGATATATTTACAAATATATATATACACACACATATACATGCGAAGACAATACAAGAGTAAAGATGAAATGGATGCAAAAAAGGTAATAAAAGTCCAAAATAATGTGAAAAAATATTAGTTTAAGAAAGAGAAATGATAAGAGATACATGAATTAAGTTAAGTTTAAATTAAAATACATAACACTAACATAAGTCTACGATAATGAAACAAACCAGAAAATTAAAAGTGTTTCGAAGAAAGATGGAAAATAATTGGTATACACTCTAATTTGACACACTTTTGAATATATACTTGGTTCAACCATTAAAATATAATATATATACAACTGATTCAGTTGGTTTTTGCATTTTATATGTTTGACTGTATTTTTAAGTTTATCTATCTTTAATTGCAGATTAAAAAATAAAGATTTTTTAATAAGTATGTTATATAATGTGTTGAACAGAAAATATACCAATCGTGTTTTAGAAAGACATATAGTAGGACACTAATTAGTACACCTTCTAATTTAGCATACTATATAATGTACTTATTAAAAAATTATTACTTTCTAGTTTAAAATTAAAGGTAAATAAATTTAAAAATGCAACCATGTACACATGATGCTGAAACTTGCTAAATTGGTGTGTCAAACTGGAGGATATACCAATTATTTTCTTATATAATAACAAATTACAAAAATTAGTTTTTATTTTTTAAAATTAAATTGATTAAATTTTTAAGCTTAAATGTTTTTCATCCCTACAATTTAAACTCTTTTTTAAATTAATACATTTAAAATTACTAATTATGAAAAAAACAATGATTGATATACAGTTGATTCAATATACTACACAATATACATTAAAAAATACTATTTCTTGGTTTGAAATTAAAGATAAAGAAGTTTAAAAATACAATCATACACACAAGATGTAGGAACTAATTGAATTGATTGTATTTATATTATATTTTTAATGATTGAATTGGAAGTGTATCACAAAATGTGTTGAATCAAGTGTATACTAATTATTTTCTTATGAAAAAAATACTTTAAAATATATTTGTAGTTAATTATTATTATAAAAACTTATAATTATTAAAAATCTTCAAAAAAAAAATAAAGGCAAACTGCACAAAAGATGACTTCTGATCTGCTTAAGCATAAAAGTTTGAAGTAACTAATTAACATTAGATGTAGCAGGATGCAAATACTCACCTACACCAACTTTCATGACTCACACCCTTTTATTTTACTGTACACTTAACTAAAATTAGGAAATTTATTGGAATATACTTTGATTTGACATATTTTTTGATATTTATTTGATTTAATTATTAAAATATAATATAAGTATAATCAATTCAATTAATTCATATATCTTATATGTATAATTATATTTTTTAATTTATTTATTTTAATTTTAAATTAAAAATAATATTTTTTTAATAAATATATTGTACATTATATTAAATTAAAAGATATACCATTCATTATCTACAATACTTACTCTTCCTCCCGATGTAAACACGTGGAACTAGCTAGTTTATACCTTACACACGCTATTGCCTTATTACGACAATTATTGGCTTGCCAGATCCAAAGAATCTTAGAAGGAAGCATTCTGCAATTGCCACGCGGAACGCTATTTACAAAGGCGAGCTCTGGAGAGTAAGAGACCTCTTTAATAGTAATCGAGATGCAATATCTTCAACATTTGAAACTGAGCTAAAAGCTCTTCACGCTGCAATTACTTCTGGTCAGCTAAGGATGGCTAAGGAATTGATCACATGGA